TGGGGGCGGGGGGAAGTGGGGGGTAGAGAGAGAGAATTTTATAAAATAAATTGCTAAAACAGTTTAAATAGGCTAGAGTTTCACTCTGTTCCCTGCACAGTGACTCACATGGAACAATAAATTTCCAACAAGTGCATAGTAGATTTATTGTAGAGAAGATTCCAATTTCTGAATAAAATGAATGTTTACCATTTTTATTGTAATTGTTCTTCAGTATCACCTGTCACCATCAAAGGAAAAACACATACTAGGAGGCTGGTGCAAAAATACTGTGGCGTGAATTTTATGCAAGTTTTGCAATACTGTTTATTTTATGAAATTTCTTATGTGCTTCCTGTGGAGGTACCACTGCAAGATTATAGCAGAGGCCAAGATCCTGAAATCTGGATCCCAGTCTTATCTTTGTTATGAGGCTTGGACTCACTGCAACTGATGACAGAGGACTGCAGGAATTTTGCCGAGCTGGGATCACAGGCCCTTTGGCTGTTTAGTGCACTTTCAAAAGTAATTTAGATCTCAGATGAAGCCACAGGTATTCTGTCTGAAAAGGTCATCCTGGCTCTCAGTCATTCCATTTAAGTACCTAAAATTAAGTAAGATGAATCTTGGTGAGAATGAGTCATCATGTGATTTAGAATGAAATTAGCATTATCGGCCACTGGAGCAAAATATATCTGAGTATAGTAGAATCACTCACAAAAATAGCCCGTATTTCCTCCAAGAATTCAGAATATAATGTTCGATGTTGTCTTGTAATACTTGCATTGATGTTATTTTTGACCACTATTGTGCAGCATGTGATCATTGCAGTAGTTTTGGCCTAAGAAGTAGATCTTCCTAGCTTTAAATTTTACTCCTGCTTTGGGATTTCAGATGTCCACTTTGAAAACTCCATGATACTTCAGGGTTTACTCTGTAAGAGCTGAAAGAAGTCATATTTGTTCAAGGTCTTAGTTGCAATTGTCTAGCATTAGATAACATGATGTGTTTACCAGTACGTTAATTTTACAGAGCTGATGACCATCTACAGCTCCTCTTAAAGACAGCAGAAACATGTAACTACTTGCACTTCTGATAATTGGGTTCTGGCCCAATGTGTTTCAGAGTGAGACATTCAAAAGCTAAAGTACATAAAACTAGTAGCTGTTTTGCAACTTCAATCTATTGCTCATGTGTAAAACTCATTGTTATAAGGAAATAAACTGAGGATATAGACTTCTGAAAAGAGAACTCTGAGCTCTGCTGCACACCATTTATTTTCCTATTACTCTTAGAATATTGTTTATTTGAGATGTTGTATATCTCCTTGCCTCCCCCTCCTTTTTATTTTAATTGGGACCTGGTTATTGGCTGGAAATTCCACTAGCATGACTCATCCCTGCGCTGGAAATGACTGTGAACAGGCATCACATTGTGGGATTTACTCCCCCTAACCCCTCCTTTTTTTTCTAAGTGCTTTATTGTGGCACGAGCTTGTAATAATAAACTAGGAAGGAAGTTGGAGCTAATAATTTGGTTCTGAATGCACAAGCCCTGCCAAATTTCCCCATAGGCATGAAAGAGCCGCTCAAGCTGTGACACCAGCAAATTAAATCCTAGAGGTAGCTGACCAGAAGTAATGAAATGTGTATTTACTATACTGATGCTGTCAGTCCTAAGACACACTGGTTTTACAATCTAGTTAAGTAGGGCGTGTTTGTCACTTCCAGCAGCACTTAGAAAAAATGCTAAGGTTTGTCCCTAGCCTTCTTTCCCAAATCATAAGCCTGGTGCTGACTGGTAACCCTCACCTCATACAATGTGACGAACAGGATGCACAGAGTGGTCTGGTCTTTTAAAACACTACAACTTTTATATCCCAAAGGAGATAAGTGATCTCATCATATGACATGTTAATTGCTAAGCCTTTTTATTCATCCCGTAGCTGCCCCTTCATTCTATAAACCAAACCTTAGAGCTGAAATGAAAGGATAAAAGTTGTTCTGGGAGCCAATGAATAATAAACAACACATGCCTCCCACAAACCATGTGTCCTGTGCGTGTAGCAGTTTAAAAGCCTGGGCACGTACAGGTGTGTATAAGAGTGCCACAGAATTGCTGAAAAGAATAGGTACCACTCAAGGGAGGGATGTATTATGCATGTGGGCACAGGCGTGGGATGGATGAGCCACACCACTGCTAAAGAGATGTCACTCAAAAAATGCATGTGCATCATGGCAGCACTGGTTCAAAAGCATCTGGACACAGGCACACAAAGGAGAGAGGCTATCATTTCACAATCCCCACATGCTCAGGAGATAAAGGACTTGGAAAAAGTTATTTTCTCCAGCTGGGTGTTGTCATAGGTAACAATAGTGTATGTCTGAGAGGTTTCTATGTATTTAGCTAGCAGAGGCATGTTATGCTAATTGTGTGAGAACTACTGAAGAAGGTTAGTGGATCATTTGCTGAATGGCACTTGCTGTAAATTCAGGAAAACATTTTAAAGGAAAAAATGAAAGGTCTTCAACATCGTTAATACAATACCCATGGAAGAATTGAAGAACAAAATCATGCCCCATATGAGCAGTCTCTGAAAGCATCTAATTATATCCTAGGAATGTCTATAACTCTGCAATTATATGCTTTATTTCCAGCTGTACTTGATTAACATCACAAATGATTTATAATACCACCAAACACAAGGAACTTGCTTTGAACTGTTTGTTGGCACATATAAATTTGTTGGGCTCTTCTGTCTGTCTCTTCATAGCAAGGTAGGCATGTTGAGCTAGTACCACACAATTCAGTGGCAAAGCCAAGGGACGACTAGAATAATTTTAGAGACAACACCATTCTCTTTCCCCTAGTGAAGCCGTCAAATGCAAGTCTCTGGAAGGTCAAAACCCACTGACTTCTATTGGTTTATACATGCACTTCAATCTTAATACGTAGAAATAACCTTATTGGATCAGGTCTGTCTTTCCTTGCTTGCTCTTGGAAGACAAATGTGCTTTCTCTGGTACAGTAGCGCACACTCTTCTGGAGAGCCAGTCCATGGGTGTCTTCCTTCTCCTTTCTTCTCACGTCAGAAGAGCTGAAGTGGGAATCATTACACATTTTCTTAGTGCAGGGAGAATGGGGAGGAAGAAGGATAAGAGAACCTCTGTTTGTTTTTGACCAGTTCTAAATATAATCCCCAGTTAAAGTTTTGAATCTGTGTGGATCCAAATGCTGGATCAGGATTTAAGGCAAAATACAAACACTTGAAATGTGGTATTTTCATCTACTCGAGGGAAAGCCTGTTGAATTCAGCTGAGGCTAAGGAAAACACACGGAAGCTTTTGCATAATTGTAGTCTCACATTGTAAAACTTTTGGAGCAATTGCTCTGCCATCTGTGAAAAATTACCCAGACTTCCACACCAAAGTATTCATCCATTGAAAACATTGGCTAATATTATTTTAGTGACTTAGAAGCCATTTTTTAAAAGACTAATCAAAGCAAACCTTAAAGCAGCAGCTGAGTTGCACTGCCTCTATTTTTAATCTCAAGCTTGAAGCTGTCTAGACTCGTTATCCTATCTGGATTGGATTTATATGCTTGTTACCTTGTTCTCATATTAAGTCAGATGAGTCTGTTTGCTTAGGTCGTTTCTTCTCAAGCCTATAGTTTTGCCTATAGGGTGACATGACCTTAGATACATTGTGAAATCTCAAACTCCGATGATAAAAGCATACATATATGTGAAGGAAGACTACTGTTATTTAAAATCTTACAGTCCTAGAACCAATTCTTTGTTCTTGTGATTTCTTTAGTTGTTTTTTTGAATGCCAGGTGTTGACAACACCATATGCGTGGACTCCAAATAGGGAGCCTGGCTCCTGCAGCATAAATCCAAAAAAGATTATTCTCATGGAAGAATTCACTCCCGCTAAACAAAACTACAAGACGATAGGAGGCAGCCAAGCTACTCGAATTAATCTTTGAAAGAAGTGTCTAGTTCTTTGGTACAGGAACAACTTGACTAAGTTCCAAACTAGCTATGCCTACCTTGCCCTCCAAATAGAGCTCTCAGCCTGTGAAATATGAAGGAGAAAAAGTACTGTGGAGCTAGGAATTGAACATATCAGATATTACAGTTTTCACTGGGGGTAAAAAAAATTTCTAAGCAGCAATAAACAAAGAGGCAACTCTTAATGTAAGCTTGAACTTTTCCTTTTCCTTAATTACCATGAATCTGTCTTGAAATTCCTGTAGAGAACAAGTGCTTCTTGCTGACAGCTGGTTTGCAATTAATAAAAAGGAAAGTGTTTTCAGCTGGCAATGACTTAACGTGCTCATGATGTATGAAAACAAGGTTAAATTACTCCTTTCTCTCTACTACTAATAAAAGAAATATTGAAAATGAAATGCTGTAGCTTGGGATATGAAAAGTGCCAACCAAAGCCATGGGCATAGTTCTGAGAGTTGTTTATCAGCTGGTACTTGCTGGAACGAGCATATTTGGAAAAGCTTACTCAGTGCCAAAAATTATTCTTCAGTTGCAGGCTTATTGCATTGCATTGAAGAATATATGACCCTGTTTCTGCAAGATAAGAGAGTCTTGATTTAATAATCTCTTTTCGAAGATTTAAATGACTTACACTTTGTGGCTTTATTGGAAATCCTCTTGCCCCTGATACCCTTTTTAATCTCATCCTTCTTCTGCTCTGCTCCACCTTCCATCAGAAAAGAATGTCAGAGGCTTTATTCCTTGGGATGTAAGGGATGGAGTAGCCAGAGCATCAGAAAACATATGGCAGGAACCAGCCTCCACTGCAGAGAGACTGGCCTGACAATAAGATGCCTCTAGACTTTGGCTGACTATGAATTGTTTTCTGAAATAATTGCTACTGTTCGATGTTAATTCTCTTGCAGAATATGAAATGTAACTTTATTGCAAACATGAGTATCCTATGAATACCAAAGGAAATGGGTAAAAGTGAAATAATAGATTTTACTTCAGCAAAGTCTTTATTCTTGTCTTGTAGAATGCAGAACCTTTCCATGTTACTGTCCGAGAAGACAATTGTATCATTGTCTCCCTGGAAGCATCTGATGTGGTGAGCTCATCCTCTGTATATGTTGTGAAGATAGCTGGAGAATCCAAGAACTACTTTTTCCAGTTCGAAGAATTCAATAGCACTTTACCTGCCCCTGTGGTTTTTAATGCCAAATACCATGGCTTATATTACATAGTAACTCTGTTGGTAGTGAACTCAAATATGGTTTCCAAGTCAGCAAGATCAATCACTGTGTTAACCAGTAAGTAACACCTTATTCTTTTTAAATTTTGTTTCTTCTGTTTGTCTGTGTTTTTTTTCCCCAGAAGTTTTTGTGGAGAAGGTTGGGTGGGTTTTTTTGTTTGTTTGTTTTCAGGAGGTCCTCCTTGGGTGTAGGATGCATCCCTGTGTAAGAACAGTGGGGAATATGTGTTGACAAGGCTTGTGAGTGAAAATTCACAAGGTCTGGGCGAGAAGAAAGGGATAGCTGTGTATTTCCCCCAGGTGACCCTTCCTGAACACTGGAGAGGTTTAACATACTGAAATAAGTGATGGATGAACCTCCTTTCCAGACATTCATCCTAAACCCTTTGAACCAGGAGTTCTGAAAATCTAGTAAAAGGCATAAAAAGCATTGACTGATGTTTCGGTGTAAGCACTCCTGTTACATGGTGAGGTGTATTCTATTTTAAATGCTATAACAATGTTCTTTGATTGTTAATATATTGAAGCAGTACTAAACCTGGAAAGCAGACAGTAGTCACCAAAACCATGTGTTTCAGCCAGTACAGCTGAAGGTTTTGTGATGGAGACCATACTAGTAGTAGTCTGTCTCTTACTACCTCCAGGTGCATTGATCTTAGGGAAGAGGTGCGATTTTGTTTCCTCTGTCATTATGTAAAGCACTACAGATTTCAGTGTGATTCCTGTCATATTTCTAGCTCTGCTGTTGCTCCAGAACTGTTTCCAGGTGCCAACCTGAAAACAATTTGTAGAATATAAAATGATTTCTTCATCTGGAAGACAGATTCAAGAAAAGATAGACAAAAAAAAAAAAATATTTGGATGGAGCAAAACCAATTTCCAGATGGGTTTGTTGTGGGTTTTTTTTTTGCTAAATGACACCTTAGAATCTATGGACAGTTTTAATAGGCTTGCAGATGAGGAGTGGCTATGATTTAGTGTACTTAAATTATTCTGTCAATGAGGAATGCTATCTACTGTAATAACATTCAAAGTGTTATTACAGTAGCCTCATATTTCACTGAGTGAGGTGCTTGAAATTTAGGAGTAACCAGATTTTGTGTCATCTATACATTCTTCAGCCCTCCTTTGTGTGCTCAAGTTGTGCCCTGATGAGGACAACCATGAAGGGTGCTATGGGAAAATAATGGAGTTGGGTAGTGCAAGTATTTCACAAGGCATATGTGCAAGAACAACTATGTGTAGTGGACAATTTAAGGGTTCATAGGCAGCCTGAATTTCCTTTTCTTTGACTGCTTTAACCTTGAAGGCAAAGTAATAATTCTAATCCAATTTCCTATTTTATGGTTTGCTTGGGTTTTTTTTAAAGAAAATAATGGAAGCGTCAGCTGTCATATACAACTGAACAAATGGTTCACCATGCACTTCCAGTGGGTTTTGAATGTTGTGCTTGCAGTTGTGCAGCAGAGCTCATTGCTGTTTGATTTCCAGAGCCCACAAGGGTCACTGGTAGCAGGGGTAGGTGTGATCCAGGATGGCAGATGGAGAACACACTCCTGTGCAGGGGATCTCTGAAGGAAGAAGGGAGCCAGTGGCACACAGCCCATCAAAGTCAGCCCCTGGACTTCCCATTTCTGGCTCAGGGGTTTCCACAAGGGTTTCCTGAAAGAGCGCCTGAGGCTGACGGCTACAAGGGGCATATAGCCCACATCGCTCTCACTCCTCCAAGGCATGATGGTGTCCTTTCCGATGGACAGGAGCCCACCCCTTTTCACCACCTGTCTTACATGGGTGTGCTGGCAGCATCTCCGGGTCTCCTGCTGTGGCCTCTGCTGTTCACCCAGACCTTGGAAGGACCAGTGATTTTGGCAGTTGGCCAGTGCTGCTTGAAGAACTATAACAAGAAGGCAACAGCAAATTTCACTGGTTTTGTCTCAACAGAAAGACAACCTGGTTCATGGAAAAGAAAGGGCATTTTTGCAGGCAGTGTTGAAGGATGCTGTACTGAGCACTAGAAGTGTGCTCTAAATTGTGAGCTGTGCAAGGGAAAGGGTCCAATCTCCTTCCTAATGTTTTCTGTTAGGCAATCGGATGAGTGCTAGCTCTCATGTAGCAACCTCAGCTACTAACATAGCTCATCTTTCTGAGCACAAGGCTACAGAAATGAAAGTAAATTTGGAATGGAAAGACAGTGTAGCAGGCTGGGCTTTTAAAGGTATATTTCAGTACAGTGCTTTTGGGAAGAGATCCTAAAATTCATGTGGTGACCATTGGCCTCTTCTGCAAAACTGCATTAGATGATAATTGGTTTTAGTTTTCTTTTTTTCATTTTTCCTTTTATTGGTATTGTCCACTGCCTGTTTTACATCATTTTCTGACTATTAATTAACTTGATTGTTTTGGCAGACAATAATTAGGACAGATTCGTATTTTAATTCATGCCATGTGCTCTTTCTGCCTGGTTAACATCCTTAGTTGTTTTTAACCATGCAAAGACATATAACTATCTAATTTATTCCGTCTATATCTTGCACATGAAAAAATAGCACATTGCAACTAGCTTCCAGGACCAAATTAATTCTTCTTCTAATTTCATTGGTATCAGGAGAGCTTTACCGGTTGCAGATTGGCCCCATTCATTAGGGTGCCACAAGATAAATCAAGCAGGATAGCCAGTGATGCCAATGTGATTATTCCCAAAGGTGTACTTTGACATTTCACAATAGATTTCTGGGGTTTCCTGATGTCTGCAAAGGAGTCAGTGCAGGGAGATGGAGATTTTCAGCTTGGCCATATGCTGGAGATCTGGGTTTCACACGGAGCAGTGTGTATCCAAATTGTGCATGTCAAAATGAGAACAAGGTCGTTCAAAGAGATTGCCTACTTAGAAATTCAGTGAGAGTCGTGAAAGACCTCTGCTTTCCGATGGTATATCTTGATGACATTTCCTTTTTCCTGTTCACATCCCTCAGCAATGTGCTGCTTCTCAGCATATTGGCAAGAAAAAGGTATGTCTCTTCACAGGGTGAAACTTCATTCCACTTAAGTCAACTTTTTTTAAGTAAACTTTTGTTTTGCCCCTCAAAGGTTTCTGTCTAGGAAAAAAAAATATTCCTCTCCTCGAGAGAAAGATGTTTTAAAAGCTAACAAAATATATATATTATAAATTATATATATGTATATATAGTTATATAGTGTAAATGTGTAAATATAAATATATATACATATATGTGTGCATAAATGTGTACATATAAAATATAAAATGTTTATAAACATATATGCACGTATATATACTGTCATTTGAGCCTTCTGTTGTTAACTTGGGCCATCTCTATAAGATGGAACAGTTTATTTTCTACTTGTCTCTGACTGGAATCATGTCAGGGCTTTCTCATGTTAATCAAAACACTACAAACTATAGTTTCCTTTTTCAGGTTCTGTAGTCCAGATTGTTGTAATGCAAAGTATAGCTATTTGTTGCACTATTTCTTCTCAGAGCTCAAGGGTTTTGTCAGCTTGAGCACAATCCACATGCTTGCATTGATTGCTTCCTGAGCTGGGATGTTAGAAGCAGGGGATGAGCAGGACACATTCAACTCTTAGGCAGGAAACCTGTAAAATAGAATTTAAGAGCAAAATAGCACTTTTTCTTCAGATTCTGTGGCAAAGCTGTGTTCAGCAAATTGGACTCAGTACTTCACTGAAGGAGAAAGCATTAACTGGAAACCTGACCACTTATTATTAAAGATCCTTGGGATGGTTTTCACAAGAAAGGTGTGTGAATCTTGCTGTCCTGGCCAGATTCCTCTGGGTGCAATACTGTTGTGCCTATCAAAATGACCTTCATTTCAGTTTTCAGTCTGGGCAAGGTTAGAAGTAGTGCTAGTATCTGACACAATCATCTCAGGCCTGCTTTCTTCTGCTCTTGGAATTTTGGCTTTTCAACAGGAGTGAAGTGACTCCAGAATTTACATAATTAATTTAGCACTTTGCAATATTTGAAAGAAAGTTCCACCTTATTACTAATGGGTTTTAAAGTAGTTTGTGAGAGAAATAAAGAGCATGGATGTAAAATCAGTGACTAAAATTCTCATTTGTTCTTCATTTTCCCAGCTTGAAGCCTTGTTTTATTCTTCCCCGGGTGACTCATACCCATATAGCCTTTTTTTTTTTCATATTCACTGTCAATTTTTGTTGTGAAGGAAAGAATGTACATTTCAAGGAATGGGGAAAGCAGTACATTGCAAAGCTATTGTGTGCTGTAGGAAAGATGTATCTCTGATGGGAATTGGAGAAATCAGGATCTCGGGATCTCTGAGGGTAATTAAGAGCAGCTCTGCCTGACTTTTATTTTAGCTTGTGATTAGGAGTTTTGAGTGGTAAATGTCTCATTGTTTCAAAAGCCGATGATTCCTTACATAAATCACTGTAAAATATATTCCCTTTAGGGAGAGTTCTGCCTCTGTGTCTTCTGCAAAAAATATTCTCCTCAAGAGACCAGCAGGCCTTCTGCCTGGGACTCTGGTCTCTTCAGCTCTCTAAAAGTAATTGGCATTAGACCTAGTTAATGCCCAGTTGTCATTGTGCCAGATGCTGCAGGAAGTGATTCAGCAGGTCGAATCCTTTCCTCTGGCTCATTAATGGATCGGAGCTGTTGAAGTAGGAGCTTCAGCTTGTGTTGTCTTTTTATTTGTCATTTTATGTGGGCATCTAGAAATTGCAATATGTACCATCAGATATTACCATCACTTACATTCCCCTTTCTTAAGCAATTGCACATGGTATCCCCTATTACATATAATAAACTTAAACATTATGTTCCTAAAATATTATACAGCAGCTGTTTAATCTCAAAAATGCTTGATATTTAGCAAGAGATAAAATGATCCCTAAAGCTTATGGCATAATGGAAGCTTTGTCGTGTCTATGTTTTACTCACAGTAACCAAATAGATATGGAAAGA